CAGAATTCAGTGATAATAAAAAATATAAATGCATGTATTTGCAAATGCATATTTTAGTTAATTAAACAAGGCGAGTTAACGGACTATTTTGGAAAGGGTACTGTTTTTGTTGGAAGCGGGAAAATTTATGCCGTTTTATATGTACATATATGTATATACTTACAGCTATTTTTCATTTGTTTGTGTTCCGGCGGAGATAAAAAACGTGTTTTGAATATTTTTTTTAAAAAGATGAATACTCTTAATTTATTTAAAATATATAAAATGTTTGAAAGTGAGGACGGTCTTAAGATTAATGCAAATATGCTCGAACAGTTGCAGGAGTGGAATTTAATTCCTCGTGAAGGGCAATATTTATGCGCTCGGGGCCATCCGCTGAAATTGTTGGAGTGCACTGCATCATCGGATGGATTCGTTTGGAGGTAAGTTTACCGTGCGTCTATTAAACTGTAATACAAAAAAAAAATTATGTGTAGGTGCCGTAAAATTTCGAAGTCTGGAAAGCAAGTGCGAACGTGTAATCAGCAAATTTCATTAAGAAAAAACACATTCTTTGATAGGTCGAGGCTATCGATAGTGAAGCTCATTGCATTTTCTTACTTTTGGTTGAAGAATGTGACACAAGATTTTATAATTGAGGAGTTAAGTATTACAAGACCGACCGCAGTTGATTGGTGTAATTTTTGCCGTGAGGTAGTGTATGACGGCATGTTTGTAAAGGGGCGGAAAATTGGAGGTGTCGGGTCTATTGTTGAGATAGACGAAAGCAAATTCGGACGCCGGAAGTATCATCGTGGACACGCTGTTGAAGGGCAATGGGTTTTTGGTGGAGTGGAGCGTGCTACCAATAAGTGTTTTCTTGTTCCCGTTGAAAAGCGGGATAAGGAAACTTTATTGGCAGTTATAAAGAATTGGATTCTTCCTAACACGACCATAGTTTCCGATTTTTGGAAGGTGAGTTTAATGCCTAAGTGCCCATATATGTGTATATAAATATAAATATATATATATATAAATTTAAAATGTTTTTCGTTGCAGGCGTATGACTGCCAAGTGATGAAGGGTACGTTCACTTTAAAGTTAACCATTCGGTTAATTTTAAAGACCCAGAAACGCAACAACACACAAATACAATTGAGGGACTTTGGCGGCATGTCAAATATTCAATGCCGCAGTACCATCGAAACAAAAAGTTTTTTAGTGGATATTTGGCAAAATTTATGTTTGTGAGGCATTGCAAACATGCAGGTTTGGATCCGCTGAGCAATTTTTTTAAACTGGCTGGTGCATTATACAATCCACTGAATCCATACATGCCGGAAGAAGCAGAGGATTTTGAAATTGAGGTTATGGAAGAAGAGTAGGTGTAGCTTTTAATGATTTCTGTAAGCCCTTTTAAGAATAAATTAATAATTTATAGGAGGAAGTCGAATATTTTGTTTTTGAAGTGGAAAAAAGTGATGTGTCCTTATTGTCTGGCAACACAGAAAGGAGAATTTTACTTAGTAAGGGTTATGATCCATAAGCGCGACCGAAGGCCCCCTACGCAGAAAAAAGTTCTGCAAAGGAGAATTCTACTTAGTGAGGGTTATAATCACTAAGTGCGGCCGAAGGCCGCCTACGCAGAAAGGTGTTCTCTGTAAAAGGTGTTCAGCCTCACTTCTTCGGCAACACAGAAAGGAGAATTCTACTTAGTGAGGGTTATAATCACTAAGTGCGGCCGAAGGCCGCCTACGCAGAAAGTTGTTCTCTGCAAAAGGTGTTCAGCCTCACTTCTTCGGCAACACAGAAAGGAGAATTCTATTTAGAGAGGGTTATAATCATTAAGTGCGGCCGAAGGCCGGCTACGCAGAAAGAAGTTCTGGGCAAAAGAAACTATGATATCACCCACACTTGTCACTTTAGCTTGTAAATGCTTTTAATTTTTTTTTATCACTAAATTCTTAAACCTCAAAAGTGGATGATAATAAAATATGTATATCAAATTAAAGGTAAGAACTTCAACTTTCTAAATAATATATGGCTACGTTTCTTTATACATTCCGGATAATCCCATTTCACAGCCAGAATAAACAGAATGCGTTTGAAATATACGTTAACATATCATCAGGAACGTTCTAAAAAATAAGCAAACAAAAAAGTTTATTCCAAACGTTCAGAATGAATAAAGAAATGCGGCATATATGTCTTTAGCATTGATTATGGACTTTTTTCTAAAAAAGGTTATTTTATGAAAAAATTATAACATTTTATTTGGTTTTTAATATTTATGGCTTAAATATATAAGCAAGCAAACGCATTTTATATATGAACTTAAAGATGGATTAATTGTCCTTATTTTGATATCATTACTTTTTTAATCGGTTACGTAGTTTATAAAATATTAATATTTTAAAATATCACAAAAATTGTCTTTAACTTTTTATATCTTCTTTACTTTTCAATTGCGGCAAATAATATTTATATAGTTGAAATCAGCGTAAAAAGTACTATCGGTCTGCATTTTTAGTTTTCTCATAGCTGAACGGTTGGTTATTTTGATGTGTTCCCTCGATGCTTGAAACCTTTCAAAACAAATTGAAAAAATTGTAATTATCTTTGGAAATTTTAAAACAATTGTGGAATGCATTATCTGTAAATTATAC